ATCGCCCAGATCCTGGACTGGGGGTCTGCGGTGCAAGTTAACCAGCTAATTCCGACTCAGCTCCCCTCCACCTCCCCGTCTTTCTTCTATCGACACCGCCCCCTCCCTCACCCCTTTCCCCTCAGACAAAGTGCTTCTTGTGCAGTCGGAGGCGCATCAATGCCAATAGTACCTCGTGCGACAACGGAAAACGGCTTTCAAAATAAAAGCACACGCGATCCTTACGGCTCACGCTTGTCCACTTTTCCCCTGCACCTAGCAAGCTGAGAAGGACCTGAACACAATTTAGGTTTGAATTTTATTGAAATTATTTTATTAAAGTATCTGCTCTAACACAACATATAGATAAAATCATGGATAAATAGCTCTTCCAGCACGTCATGTTTATTTAGGCATAACCCAAACAGTAGATGTTATATAAGTTAATCACATAACCCTTTTTAATGGTTTTATGGCCTCTGTCGTTGCAATGCAACCTTTGTAGTAGATTTTCTCCTCTTGCTGGAAGTTCCTTTTTGCCCTTTAAAATGTTCCAACAAATCGTCTTACTGTTGGAGTGCCACGTTTCTCTCTCTACAAATCTACAAATATATAAAGCAAAATCAACTTTGGTTTAGTCCTGACTAAATATTTAACAGTATATTTACGCATGCCGCACTGTAGAGCATGCTGAGCAAAGGCTTTTGATGTTTTTATGTGCAAACATGCAACCGAGGAGACCATAATGTCAATAAAAAAGGGGGAATAAATTCAAATCTTAAATTTGCAAATGTGTCGATAAAGCAGTGCCATAAAACATATGCCTTAGAGCATATTGTGTAATCTTGTATCTGTTATGATAGCAGTTACAGGTCTTAATCTATTTTACATGAAAAATATGCTATTCTAATCCCATATAAGAAGGTGAAGCTGAAGGTACTGTCCTTTTAACACTAAAATGTTAACTGTAAACCTTAATGTTAAACATTCTGGCTTAAAGAGCAGATGAACACATCAAAATCCAAAGAAGACTTCTTATCTCAAGGAGCTGGAACCTCAGCGGAGCGTGCGACTCCAAAGTTTGCTGTACCAAGTTTAGCCATCAGCGCTTTCTTCTTTGGACTTGCCTTGAAACATTTTTCGATTATTAGGCACTATCTTGATGATTGATTTCATAAAGTAAAAGGCACAGCATCCACATGCTACTGTAATATTCACTGAAAGGCTTCTGCTAAGTAATTTAGATTCCTACTGTGACAAGTGACTGTTTATAATATTACCTGTACATTTTTTAAATCTTTTCTTTTACAGCATATTTCAACATATTTCTCCAAGTTTCTTGAGTGAGAGTCTTTATTTTAAAGATCCTGCTTCAGAGTCACGTCTGTATTACCGCTGACTTGTCAATGACTGACGCGTAAAAGCAAGCATATTCTCTGATGTGAATCGCTGTCGCCCCCTGCCGGACATCTCCTGCACAAGCGAAATAGGATTTCACATGAGACGCTGCTGCAGCTGTGAGATTACCACACCTCAACGCCACACTAAAGCCACTTTGCGATCTCATTTTAATCCAGACTTAACCATCTTCAGACGATTGCTTTACAACAAAAAAGTCCCCTTTTTGCCATGTGCCCAGGATTTTTCTTTTGAGTTGGACTGTACTTGCAGCTGCAGTATAACCTCCTGTGTAAACCTTCGCTATGTAACTGCTTTATTCCCCCCCCATAATAATCCGGTGTGTGGGCGTAGGCATACCAAATTTTCAGTAACTTGAATTTTTTAACTTTGCTTCCAGCTGTGCTTTCTCTCAGGATGCCTCTTTGACCCTGCCAGTTATGAGATACTTATAAGGGAACTCAAGACAAGGCACTTATATATTAAAAAAAGATACTAAAAATACACAAGAAAGAAAAAAGAACCTCACAAATGTTTCTTATCAGAGTGTAGCTTGATAAGGGAAGTGATGTGATAGCATCACACAACTGCTGCAGATTCGTGAGCCGTACACGTCCATGATGTGAGCCTGCTCATCCACGACATCCCAAAGGTGTTCTTTTGGATCGAAATCTGGTGACTGTGGAGGCATGGTCAGCAAAAATAGTCAGGAGGGCTGGGGCATTCAAATAATGCTCATTTGACACGAACACACCCAACCCAAAGTCCCAGGACGATTACATCTCCACCTCCAGTCTGAACAATTGATAAAGGGCAGGGTGGTTTCATACTGGCATGCAGTTTATGTCAAAATCTGACGCCACAAACTCAAACATTTTTTCCAATCTTCTATTAACCAGTTTTGGTGGGGTCAATGTAAACTGTGTAAACTGTGCCCTCCGTTTTGTGTTCCTAACTGACAACATTGCTGTTGCTGTAGCCCATCTGCTTCAAGGTTTGAAGTGTTTGTGCCTTCAGATAAGCTCTTCTGCATACCTTGGTTGTAACAAGCGGTTATTTGAGGTACTGTCATTTTGGCTTGAAAAGTCTGCGCATTATCTTCTGACATCTAGTATTAAGAAAGCATTTTTTTCTAGTGGACTGTTCTTCATTTCCTGTTTTTTTATGTGCCTGTTTTTGACGCACCCTCTGGAAACCCTAGAGAGGTTCATGTGGGGAAAATCAGCAGTTTCTGAAATAGTCAGACCAGACCATCTGGCGCCAATAACCACGGTCAAAGTCACTTAAATGGTATTCCCTCATTCTGATGCTCAAGTTTAATACATGATTATTAAAATAACTCAAAGTTGTACTTTAGGGCTGTAAATGAAAAAAAAAATTACTTTCATTTTGTTTTTCCTAAAAAGTAGTACATTTGATACACAATACACACGATAACTTAACTTGTTATGTCATGACCATGGGTTCAGGTGGACTATGGAACATATGACAAATACAACAAATGCAAAATATAACTTTAAATATCTTCTTTAAATTCAAAAAAATAATTTTCCATTTGTTCTTTCCTTTAAGCCCAAAAGTAACTGACCTATTTGTGAAAACAGCACCAGTAGAAAGTGCATTACAAGCAGTTCCCCGATACCAAGGCCTGCCTAGTTTTTCTTTTTGAGTGCCCGTGTGCCTGTGCAAAGACAGGAGGGAGTTGGGTTGCATCAGAAATAGCGCTCCCACCTGCTGAGGATCACTGGAAAAAAAATATGACAGAACATTTGTTGTCCCCTTCATCTTCTTCCTTTTACTGACACTCGTTACACACTGAGGTATTGTCTCTTTAGCTTGCCCACCGCTGAAAGCAGTGTACTGCTAATATGACAGATAAGTTGGTAGTGTATGCCATAAGAATATTTGCTGGCACAAAAAAACCCAAGCTCTTAGAGTTATGTTGTCTATGAATTTAATGGAAATTATTGGGGTAAAATGATTCAAATACAAGCTGATGTAAGATATATATTGATTTAATTTAAAAATTGCAAAGACAAAGAAGTTTGAGATGTAACAAACTGAACAATAGTACTGGCAAGCAATCTTCAGATTTCTAGCAATGAATATTTATTACTCTATCTTGAACTTAAGAGCTGCTGAATGCATTGCTCTTAAAGCCACAGAATGCAAAACTCATCCGTGATACTAAACTTGAATGGTATTATGTGGTCGGTCTATAATGGCGTTACAGTGAAGTCAAGTAGGGTCAGAAGGAACCATGTCTGACAGGCTCATCTTTTAGCTGACAGATATTCTCACTAATTTTCACAATGATTTCTAATCTGTGAGAAGCCCTCAAGAGAGCAAAGGAGCATTGATTGTTCCATGTAACATGTGGCTCTATATGAAGATGCCCTTTGTAGCTAATGCTCAGTTTACCAAAAACACCTTAGCGCTTGCATCAGTTTTATTCCAGTATAAGCCACTGGAAAGATTAGAAACTTGATGCTCAGGGGTTAAGTGATTTGCAAGAAGAGTCAGCGCTCAGGTCAAGATTAGCGCTCATACTCTGGAGTCTTTGTAAAGTCGTGCCAAAGAATTGTTGACAGTAGATGTTTGTGTTTTGAAATCTTTGTATATGCGCCTTCTTCAGCTTTGAGCAACTGCCTTGCTTTTTAATGTAGTTTATTTAAAGAGTGTGCACTGTTGGGATTTCTTTGACTGTTTTGGTAATTCTCACAGAAAGAATTTGTCATTTTTTCAAATGTCACTGAAAAATGACCCTAAAATGAAACAACAAATATTTTGAAACTCTGACTTTTCTACACCAAGATGCTCATTTCACCCCAGGAAATGAATGGCTGTTACATGCCTTGTTACACAGCAGATTTTTCCTGTCTTTACCAACTTCCTGTTTCCATTTCCTGAAAATTTTAAAGGACAGCATGTTGCTTTGAAAGCTGTATCCAGCATTAACAAGGTCTTGACCATTTGTGGTTGCAGTGATTTTTGCTTTCTACAAAGCTTTTAGAAGTGTTCCTGAGCTCATACAGTCATACGCACAGAGATTTCTCTGGAGTCTGTAAACTGTTTAGTCATGTAAAGACCTTGGATAAGAAAACCCCAGATTCTTTGCAACTGTCTGTAAAAAGAAAAAAAAAATGAATTAAACTCTGTTTTTTCACTGTACCTGCAGTAAACCTTACCGCATGTGTTGACACAGCTAACTCGGTTAAAAGCAGAGTACAATGGTGAAGAGGCCTGATCTATTCTTAGAGTATGATTGTCTGCATTGGCTAGCCCCAGTAAAGGCTTTAGGTTTCTCATAAACAGCATATTTATTACTGACAGAATCTCTTTAGCTATAATGAATTGATGTAATTGCTTAGGTTATATAGCTACTGGCTTCACCAACATAGAAGAATTGGCAAGCTTTCGAATGTCCTTTTTATGAGAACTTATAATAATGACAATATTTGTTACTAATATATCAGCTTGTGAATTTTTCCAATTATTCCAATTGGGAAAAATGATAACATTTCAAATGCTGATCTCTAGACAATACCATTAAGGCAATGCTACGGATTTATTATTACACTTTCCTTGTGTTGTCAGTGTCAGGGGAGGTGATATTTAGTGCTTGGTCTCTTGCCAGCACATTCTTGGGACCAGACGTTATATCTGCTGTCCACTCGCCATCAACCCCACATAAAAAGCTGCCCATTGTCTTCAGCAGCTGCTGTTTGACTCTCTTCACCTCCAAAGACGCTCATTTACAGGTAAAAGAACAGATGCTATATTGTGTGTTTTACCTAGTTAAGGTTTCTCAGAATATTGCCAGAGTGACTAACAAGAAGGTACTAATATAATTTTAATTTTCTTACAAGATTAGAGCAGAAAATATAAAAAATAAATAGATTTTGTAGACAATAAGACAGTGCTTAGCCAGTGTTGTTTTGGTTAAAGCTGTACAATATAGTAATTTGTACATACTTGTACATAAATGCTGTCAACCTAACAAAGAGCTGATCTTAAAAATCTGTGTGCAGCTGCTGCTGTCTGGCTTTGCTTTTTTTTGTCAGAACAAATGTTGCAGCTGATGTATTCGCTTAACAAATGTGCTGAGCTGTCATTAGTTAAACTGTAAAAAATACAGAATGAAAAAATTAATATTTGGGATGACAATCAACATGATGGAGTAAATACATGGTTAATTTTCAGTGTAGTTTAATGGGATGACATATTACACCAAAACATCACTAATACTAATAATAATAAACTTTCTTTTCTTCCATGTGTTTGTTTCTGCTCAAGAAGTTGAAGTGAGGTAAGAAAATTCCTTTTATGCCTGCTGTATGGTTCATATTTGTGAAAAGGTTTTTTAAGGGAAAGTTGTGCTCGCTTCCTAAAAGGATAAGAATAGATAATGCACTCATGTAAACCTGCCGTTGCCTTTAAGATCATCGTCCTCATGTGTTCCTGCTTGCTGTTTCAGGAGCACGACAGATCCAGAACGATGAATCCCAGAGGGGAAAAGGTGAGCCAGCTATATTCCACAGTGTTAATCCTCCATGCATGGACAGGGGACACATTGTCCTTGCACACATGGCAAAGATGTGGCAGTGGTTATCTGTCAGAATTGTTATCTGCATCCCTGAGAGCTTTCCCCTTGACTTCATCCTAATAATAAAGCGTTATCTTTTTATGTGTGACTGCAGTAAGTGGAGTCAAGTTTGACACTCGCAGGTCTTTCCATACAATGTGCAATGTTTAATTTTAGTTGAAAGATACAGTGTACTTTGTTAGCCTTTTATTTACTGTACTGGACACTGTAAATATCACCTTACAGACCTAAATAATCAATATTTGATTTAGAATCACTGAGCTGATTGTGCTTTGGCTTTTTCCACAGCCGAAGTCGAAGATTTCGGCTTCTCGCAAGCTCTCCCTCAAAGTGAGTTGCCTTTACACACCTTTTTTTGTTTGCTATATATCCCCATGACAACAAAACTTGATATTAATTTAATACTATTTTATAAAAGAACAATATGATGAGCCATGCACATGCTGCAAGTTTCATTAACTCTTGGTGCACACTTGACTCACTGCCATATAACATAATACATACTGTTTATGAAAACCAACATAAATTATCATTTTTGTCACGGTCAGACTAAAACTTCCTCGTCCTGTGATTGATACCCATTTGTGTCCAATCAGATGCTGCTCCTCACAAGAGCCTGTGAGGATTTGGAGAAGGAGAGGCAAGAGAGGGAGGAGGAGAAAGTACGCTATTTAGGAGAAAAGTTGCCTCCGTTGCAACTGTCTGGAAAGTCCCTGCAAGAACTACAAGTAAGCTCTCTAAAGCCACAAAAGACCAGCTTTTGTAAAGCAGAAAATATAATAATATTAATGTTATCAATATCTGATCTTTTAGGAACTGTGCAAGCAGCTTCATACAAAAATTGATATTGTGGATGAGGAGAGATATGACTGTGAATCCAAAGTGAGCAAGCATAACAAAGATGTAAGTCTCTTTTATCCTCCAGACCTCTGCATATCCTTTGTATCTGTAAAATGTCTGCATTGAAATTGGGGGCTAAATTCTCTATTAACTGTATATTTAGGTCAAACCAGAACAGGCCGGCCAATATAACAGAAAGACATTCCTCAAATATTATTGCAGCACTTTTACACTATGTACTCTCCTAAAAAACTAAAGAATAAGGAGACAAAGTGAGCTTTTTCTTCCTGTCTCTGTTTTTTTCATACATTTTGCGTCATAATGCTTTAGATCCATGAGCTGAAGCTGAAGGTACAGGACCTTGGGGGCAAGTTCAAAAAGCCTGCCCTGCGAAAAGTGAGGGTGTCAGCAGACGAGATGATGAGAGCCCTCCTGGGCTCCAAACACAAAGGTTCAATGGACCTCAGAGCCAACCTCAAGTCTGTGAAGAAAGAGGATGTGAAACAGGACAAGGTACCAGAATCACCACTCTCACGTCTTAGCTCCTAATCTCTTGTGTTTCTCAGTATCAAAACATTTTTTTCTGATTTTTATTTATTTTTTCCTGGTTCTCTTCATTCTCAGGTGCTTACCAGTGAAGTAGGCGACTGGCGTAAGAATGTGGAGGCCATGTCAGGTATGGAGGGCCGTAAGAAGATGTTCGACACAGGCGGCGGAGCACAGTGAGATCACCTCTGAAAGCAGGAAAAGTTAAGCTGTCTAGACAGAAAAAGTGGAATACCTAATGGGAGACAAATTGACCCAAAAGCTGCTGGAGTTTAGTTTGAGGTAAAAGCAAGTATAAATCCCACCTGTGCTGCATTTTACCTGATAGTCACTCAGTTTAACAACTCAATGCACTTAAAGTGTAAAATAAAAGTGTAGAAGCCCATGTTTTGTTTTGTTTTTGTTACCAAAGAATATTTTGTTTTGTTATGTCACCTTAAGACAATTAAAGAGGATTTAAATGAACACATATTGTTTCCATCGGTGATGTTCCATATCTGTACTTGACTTTATCGTGTTTCATTTTATTGGCACCAGAAGGATTATGTGTGGCACGTCAAAGGACGGCAAGCAGCTTGGCTGTTGATGGATTTAAAAAGAAAGATGAAAAGTGAAGGGAGGGGGAACAACAGGTGGCAGTTGCATTCTGTGTATCTGTTTCAGTGTTTTAAATAGACCTTGTGTGAAAGCAAAAGATTGTGTTTAAAGTAAACTCAAAGCAAATGAATAAAAAATTTTAAAAAAAGGCTCCTTTTTTAAAATAGTTTTTTCAACAAGAAGTAAAACAAAGAGGCTTTTCCAGCACATGTTCCACCTTAGACTTTGACAGAGTGTATTCAGCCATGATGTCATCTTCTATAAATCAAAGCTCCAGAAAGCTTCAGAAGCCCACTAACACTGCCATCCTAGACATTTCATGCATTCATGCACTGCTTCTTTGTTTGACTGGGTTGTCTGGTTGCTGAAAGCCAGACATTGTTATCTGAGGCGTGACAGTAACACCAGTAATAGCTTCATGACTTCTGGAAGTGGTGAGTCTGTTTTTATACTTTTATGGACTAGAAACATCTGTGTGTGTTTTAAATAAAGCTGATAGGGCTGCACGCAGCATATCAGTGTTGCGTGTAAAGGACAGCTGACACTTTATGTTGTTAAAGAGCTGTTTTATAATGGTTTCTACATTTAAACGAATCTTATAAAATCAAAACAAATCAACAAACAAAACAAACAGGCTTAAATTCTCTGTCTATGTAAAGGAACAGACAGTGCCTATTTTCATATACCACAAATGTTGACAGCCGACTTGTCAGCACCACATATTGATGACTGTTAAGTGCAAAGGTCAGAAAGCTTTTTGAGCACTTTTGAAATCATCCAAGCATTAGTCATGGCTCATGTTAGCACGTTTGTGCCGCTTGCACTTCATTATCAGCGCCACTTGGTGGCAGCTCACAACAGCATTAATAAATCCGCTGCTGGGAAAAGTAATTACTGCTTTGAAAATTTACTTGAAACTAAATTGACATATTCTCATTCAAAAATCTATTATTGTTAATAAGGTTTCTAAACAACTGGTGAATATTATGTACATTAAAGGCTTAATACAGTTAATAAATACAATGCAGAAAGCTTAAAAAATACTATTAGCACTAATATATAATTAATTTGTAATATAATTGATGTCACCTATACATGACATTAATTTTATTCTAAAGTAGCAGCCCCCAACCTTTTTTGCGCCACGGACCGGTTTGTGTCTGACAATATTTTCACAGACTGGCTTTTAAGGTGTCACGGATAAATACAAGAAAATAAAACTAGTACCGGTACCAAAAAAGAAGATTTATTCATAACAGATGTGAAAAGACCCAGAGAAACCGGGTTAATGATAAAAACGATTAAAAAAATAACGATAAAAAGCGACAAAAACCCATAAAAAACATAAATTTCCCGCCCGACCGTCAACTCTCGCAGCCCGGTACCAAACAACTCACAGACTGGTACCGTGGCCCGGGGGTTGGAGACCGGTTTTCTTAAGTGTGGTGGTGCCAGGAATAAGCTTAGACTAATCATGACTAGTCTATCCTCATTCCATGTCTTTGGGGAATGCGGCTCAGGTCCTGCCCATGGCTCACATCTCTGTGATTCTGGATTACGTCAATGAAACTAGCCTAACTTAAAGAAACTTCCCACTATTTCACATGTTCTTCTACAGAGTAAAATACAGTTCCTAAGTTCTAAGATGGAAGTAGCAGAGCCTGACAATAAATAATTACTCTTGTGGCTCTAAGCAGTGTCAGTTCATTTCACTCACAGAATAACCCAAAGGAAAAGAAAAAATGAGCGTTAATCTGCAAAAAAAATAAAATGCCAGTGCTGATTACAGTGTCTGCAATGTGTATGTGCGTGTGGCCTGATGAGGAGGTATGATTGATGCCATTAATCTTCAGCATAAAGCACAAGCGTTGCATTTATTGCTGCAGGGACCAGGGGTGGGTTGACGGTAACAGAGGGTGGTCTGATGATTAGACACACTGCCCTATGACAGAGACTCTCAGGCTCAGTTCTTTGTATGAAGTCTTGTCTAAGTTTCTTTCAGCGGTATGGCACATTCAGCCCACAGGCCATGGAAAAGCACTTTGTACTAAAGATAAAACATCATGAAATTTTATTATCAGCCAGTACCTTGTTGCAACTACTCAATAACTGGAAAGAAAAACAAAATGCAAAAAGTCAGTGAGAGCAGGCTGAATTGAAGGCAGTGTGATCAATAAGCAAGGTGACAGTCTGGAACTCTGGGACAGAAAGAATCAGACAAACAATCCAGACAACTGGGAGGACGGTCACAGACAAGCAGGTTTTAATAAAACTGCGGTAGCTTATACTGAACTGCGGTAGCTTATACTGAACTGCGGTAGCTTATACTGAACTGCGGTAGCTTATACTGAACTGAAAGACTGTAAGAATGTGCAAATGCTTTGGAAATAGGAAGCATGGAGGTGATCTATAAAGTTGCACTTAATAACTCAATAAAGTGTACTATCCACCTGGTGTGAAGCTGGTTAGCTGGGTAACAGTTAAACTAATGAGGAAAGACAATGATCCGGAAAGTTTTATGAGGAACACACTTTATGAGAAGTAGAAATGCCTACAGGCTCTGAGATTTCACTTATTCCAAATCAAACTGTGCAACTTGGATTTAATAAACTTGGGCACAGCATCAAGCTTTACGTAAGTAGACTGCACAATGATAGCAAATCATAGGCTGCACTGCATATATAAATTTTAAATACCACAGGAATCACAAATAAACCATCAGCCTGAGAGAGAAGCGGGCTGTTATAATACTATAAGGTCTTTAAGACAGGATAGGGATTGGTGGATTGATAGATGTAGGTCAACTCTGTCCTTTTCTTTTGTTCCAGGCCAATTTTGTTAGTGAAACTTTTAAAAGGCAGGCCTTAAAGCCTCTCTCACAATGCGACATAACGCCAGATATTTGTCTGTCTAATACAGCCTTAAATCAGGGAACACCTGCCTTTTTGGTTTTATTTGTTTTTACTATATTTATCTCAAGGTTATCATTTTGCCTTTCTCATAAGGTTGTCTTGTGTTTTGTGCCTTAAGTGGCCCCAAAGTGTAAACATTTTACATACAAAGTTATCAGTCAGTCACTGAATTTAGGGTTGCAACATTTACTCATAGCAAAGCAAAAAAGTGTTTTAAATATTTTTTTATTCATTTAAATCACCATTTCAACTTTCTCCCATTGCCTTGAGGGTGCAAACTAGCAACCTTCCTTTATGTAAAGCCCATTTCTTTAGCTTCTGGTCTTCTGCTACACTAACTAGAAGCTGTATATATTCATAGCTTCCTGGGGTGATGTGTCAAATAAGCAGCTTGAGGCAAATCCTGTTTCTTTTCTAAACGATAGTCTATATTTGGAGGTAATGACACAGAAAAGCAGCTTTAATGTAGAATTAAACTTGTGGATTCAAGGGTTTAAATGGACATAAAAATACACACACATACTTGGGCAAACTGCACCGTGTTCCCCTCAGTCAAAAAAAGTATTAAGGATATAGGACCTGGCCATGTTGTCGTCACTGAGTCAAAGTCTTCATATGCTAAAGTATTCTGGCGTTAAATAAAAACAAACAAACATTTATGGGTACTTAACTGTGAAAAAACAAAAGAGGTTAAAGCACTGCATTGATGAGAACAACTTGCAGACTGTGTATAAAAGATAGATATAGCTTTTTGTCTATTAGTTTATGGATTTCCAGGCCTCAGTTTGAGCTTTATGGCTATTTCCATTGTTTTTTGACTCGGAAGTGACCATATTTAGTTTTGTTTTTAGAAATAACCATATGAAAAACCATATTATATGTCAGCCAGTTGGATTAAAAAGCTACCAAAGGCACTAAGAGCACTGTTAGCCGAGGTAATGCCTATCATTCAGCTATGCATCGGAAGGCAACTGTCAGTAAATTCAAAGCTTAGTAAAGTTCACAGGTGTGTTTCATAAATTCGCCCTTCACAAATAAGTATATTGTCTGTAGACAAAAAAATAGTTATGAACCAGGCTGTAAACATGTTTATGTCTGCTGTAAAGTTGGGCAGTTTAACATGCTTTCCTTTTAATATATAGAAGAAAAGTTAAAGTTAGTCCACATTGATTTTCTTTCAATCTTTTTATGAATGCTTAGATATTTCATGAGGTTTCAGATGGGAGACATTAGAGAGACAAGAGTGAGAAGCCTTTTGTCACATCTGAGTATGTTATGTATTTATTTCATCTTCTATAAAGCTGTTTCAGGGCTGTTTCATCACCTTCAGCTGTTGTTCACAGCAGGCCATGCCTCGACCACCACACCCTTGGTGTGCTTTGGTCTGTCTTCGTTCCTGTTATATATTCACCGCACAACGAGAAAAAAAAAATCACAGAGGAAAGTGAGTCAATATCTGAAGCAGCTGCACACTTTTTCTCGTCTGCGACGTGCAGAATTAGTACACCTTTTAATGGACTCTTGGAATTTGTTTCTTTATATATTTTTAAAGAAAAAAAATCTTTATCTGTTCCCAGCAAAGATTTACAGTGCCACACAATGCAATATGTTTTCAGGGACTTATTAAGAAAGACCTTCAGAACATATTATCTCTACTAAATATAAGCAGCCATTGTACATCCAGCACATCCTCACTTTTCCTCCTGTCACTTGTAATGGTTTAGGTCCATCTACAATCCGTGGCTGCGGCCTTGCCGCTTTCTCACTATCGATCTCCTGTGAGCCAATAGGGAGGGAGAAGAGGCTGACGGGTATTGGTTTTGGACACCAAAGCTGGCCAGGAGTCAACAACATCCAGCCAATATAGATTCCTCTTCTTTTAATCAGGTGGAAGCTTTTGAAAAGCCTACAACTAAAATTGGAGTATCTACTATTTAACTTAAGGAGACAGTTCTG